TAACGAGTGGAGGACAGAAAAGCTTCTTAAAGAAGACGTTACAGGTCTGTGAGAGCCAGAGATTTTCCTTGTTTGAATTGACCAAATACTTATTTTCCACCCTGGTTTACAAATAAATTCTTTAAAAATCCTGCCATGTGAATTCATGGATTTCTTTTCACATTCTGTCTCTCACAGTTGAAGTGTACCTATGATGTAAATTACTGACCTCTGTCACCATTTTAAGTGGGAGAACTTGCACAATCGGTGGCTGACTAAATACTTTTTTGCCCCACTGTATATATGTATGTGTATATATATATATATATATATATATGTATGTATATATATATATATATTAATATATATATATATATATATATATATATATATATATATATATATACATACATATATATAAATAAAAGATAAACCAAGCCTCAACAGTGACTCTCTTCCAGCTAGCTCCTCTTTATCATCATCATCATCATCTGTACTCTGGTTCCCTCCAGGCTCCCGCGCTCCCACCGTCTCCATCCTCATCCCGTCTCTCGTCCTCATTGCTACTCTGTACTTTTTGGGGAGGCGTTATCCTTAGGAGAGCGTTGGAGGAGAAAGAAAGACCTGCAACAGAGGCTGCCTCGGGCTGTTTTTAGCCCCCCCGGGACGGACAATGATCCTTTGATATTCCGTTTGAGAGGAAGCTGACTGAGCATTCGTGTCTCTTGCTTTTATTCCATCAAGATGTTCAATAGGAGAGGAAATGAATAGATGCTGCTCCCAAATGATGCATCACTAACGCAACACTAATGGCAACATGTTGACAGGAGGGTTTAAAGCAATGCAGCAGAGACGTGAGGAGAGAAATTCTATTGGTTTCTTTGCTTTAACACCTGTTCAAACCTCCAAGGTAATTAATTATTACCTGAGATGCTTTTCAAGTTTGTCCACCTGGTCATGAAGCAATGGGGTGATGCTCGTCTCTGGTCTGGAAAAGAAAAGCAGCAATTTACACAAAGTATTTAAAATAAACACAAAGAGCTGAGAAAAGGAAGAACCTGCACATTTTGATCTAATTAAGCAGAAGGCCACAAAAATAATAATAGAACATCTGGTTGAAGCTACCAAGCCTTTGTGTCCTAGCTTGCAAATGTGCAAAATCCAACATGAAACAGTTTCAGCGCTAAATGAGTGAAAGGAAGTCCCTCCTGGGGGACGTTAAGTGCAGGTTATTGCATGTGTGACTCATACTTGCAGCCTTACTGACCCAGTAAAAGCAGAACACAAATGTGTACCGAGTAGGAAGTCTTCGACAGAGTAATGCACTCATTAAGAAATCATTCACATTTTGCACTTGGAACAAAAACCTCACCAGGAGACATTTACCTCGTCTCTATTTACGGACCAGTTCAGAGCTGCTGTTGGGAAACGTTAACTACTGATTCACATATGTTTCATTAAGTTTCTTCACAGAGTTATAATGTATGGCAACACATTCTACCACTGTTTAAATTGGTGTCTCCTTTAAAAAAACATTTGATTAATGCATGAATTGTTTTGTTCTCATCACCTTCTGCTCCTCTCTGATGGCTGCACTGCTGGTTTTAACAGGCTCTTGACAGAGAAATGATGTTTTAATGATTATTTCTGATTCTAATCGGTCACGCCGACTCAAGCAGGCCGAACGTGAAACTAGTCTCCTACACCTGTCTCCTGCATTAGCCTCTGATAAGAAATAAACGGTGAAAATCCAGAATTTAAAAATCCTGACGGTGTGATGTGTAGCGTTATTAAGATCCTATCGTCTGCCCTTAACAGCTGCCCCTTCACCCAGTAACAGCGTGCATGAATCGCCAAGGTCGGGTTCTTGTTTCTGAATGTTTACATTCCAGGAAAGGAGACAGAAGAAGGAAGAAGAATGCTTTTCATTAATTAATCAAAGAACTTTATTTGTGATAAAGTTAATCAAAACATATGTTGATCAATAATAATCAGGTTAATGGTCTGTGAAATCAAGATGTCATGATTTATGTGTTTAATGAATAAACAGGACTGTGCACCAGACATACGGATCCACAGAACATAGAAACGCATGACACATTGTTCTCATCCAATCAGAGCTTCCGTCTGTTGCGGGGCAGAATCTGGGCTGTTTATTTAAATCGTCCACTCCGATTTGCTAAGATTTATAAACAACTAAGTTAATAAAACAGAGCAACGCCATTTTAACTTCAGTTCCATCTGAGTTCCAACGGAGTTACATCATAGACTCAACGTAGTTTCAACCAGCTCTCAATCCTCATCGCTAAAGGAGATTACAGCCTGGCCAGCTGTGTTTTTCTACTTTAAGCTGAGAACTGTCAAGCTGGAATTTCTGTCGTTTGAACAACAAGACGAGACGGTTCCTTCACAATAAAAGCTGAACGCGCTGAGACCTGCCGCTACTGCCGGAGCTATCCGTAGACGGGTTTGTCGTGCTGCAGACGCTGTTTCATCAGTCCAGTACCAAAGAGGTCCGAGGACCTGACATTCCTGATCTGACCGCGGGAGACTCCATACGGTACGTAGACATGGCACGAGATGGCGTTTCATGTCAAGAGCTTCTGAAGCCCTCGTGGTTCCTAGTCTAAACATCAGACACCCAGATCCGCCTGCCTCAGCCTGGAGATTCTGAACACACACACACACTCACACACACACACACACACACACCAACACTTCAACATTCAAATCCATATGCATCCATCATAGAGAGTTAGTCCTGGTAGATTGTTTGAATTTATAATTATAGAAATTAAAGATTCTTGAACGATCCCAACTCTCTCTTTTCTTGTCTCTGAGTCAATACAAAGTGTTAAATAAAACTCCCTGAAGTAAAAACAACCTCTTCTGATTATAACATCTGGACCTAATAACAGTGTAAGAATATACAACTATATTCCACTACAGATGTCACACTGTCACTTAGCATTCATGGACTCACCATTATGACTCACGACAAGGAAGGCTGTTTTTGGTTTAGCGTCCAGGAACATCTCGACATGTAGAAGCTCACTGTTAGCATTAGCAACTCCTCCACACGGCAGAACTCCCTCAGCCTTTTGGTATTTGTGGAGATAAAACATGAGCCTTGCAGAACAAACCGAGTGAGCGGTAGAGTCCGGCTGCTGTTAGCCAATCTGAGGTTCGACGTCCAATTATCAGGAAGTGAGACTCCAAAACCTGCCGTCTGGAACAGCTGCACCAGAGCTTTGTTTCCTCTGAGAATGTGGAGGACCTCTTTAAGCCAGGGCCAAACAGGGTCACTGTGCTTTACCATTACATAATCAGATTACTGATGGATGAATTCATTGAGAACAGTTATAAGGCTTACTGTTCTTTTAGGTTTAAAATCCAATAAGTGATGGCGATGGTGCTTTTTACATGTATGACAAAGCCCTCAAATATTCCTGTATCGCTTTTCTGCTGCAACCCTGAGACCAGCGGTCCAAATCTGCTCTCCCAAACACTTTTACCTCTCGAATCAAGTCAGCAGCAACAGATGGTGTCTTTTCACTCTGGTCTGACATCGGATCTTATGTGGCGGCCTAAACGCTTTGTGGCTGGAGCGAATCTGGGGCATCACTCACACTCCACCTGGGCCAGTTATCCCTCTTAACCAGCTGCATTTGAGCCAGCGGACGGTCAAACCATTTTGGCAACCACCACATCACTGAGATGATTCATTTTTCATCCGTTTTCATGGCTAAAGTCTAGTGAGAGAGGGTTTCAAAGGTTTTTCTTGGCTTATGGCCAAACAGGTGTTTTGTGAGGTCTTCATCTTTCAAACTCTAGCGTCGTTAATCCAAGAGTCGGGAAGGACATTTGCCCCTAATTTGACAAAACTGCCCTTTAGGCCTTTTCCGGAACCACTGTGCCTATAAAGCCCCGAAAGTAGAACCCTAAAACACGACGCCTCGGGCCGCAGCTGGAACCCCACATAAAAACGACACCTGCAGCGTGGACTCGTTCACTTTATTACAATAACACAGCTCGGTGGAGAGGAGGGCCAGCCGATGTCACTCCATCTTGTTCCAGTGTGGTTCTTCCCCGCGGTGAGGGTGCCATGGAAAAGCATACATTCACAGCGTGGCGCGCCACAGTGGAGTGAAAATGAGCTGAGATGAAAAGAGCTGAAGGCTCTATGACTACCTGCGTGCACCCACCTGACGGGACCAAAACAACGCTGGACTCACAAAGGCGGCAATCGAATTTGACAATTAAGGCTGATTTAGTGAGAACAGTCGATCTAAATAAGACTCATTTCATGTCATTTAACCACTTTTCTGACAATTTACAGGTCAGATGAATTAATTCCATCTTTTTGTTCACATTCTTCTATAAATGTACTAGAACCCCGCACGGCCTGATGGGAGCCAGCAGGGTAGGCCCTCCGGCTATATGAAATAAAGACGTGCAACAGAAGAGATGTACCGGGGGGAAGACAGAGCAATAGTGGGACATAACGTGTGGACTGTATGATGTCTAACTGAGGGCTCCTTGGAGGGTGAGCTGAGCCTACAAGGGAGAGAAAGGGGAGGAAAACAGTGGTGCTAGTTAGGGTTATTTATGGGTCCGAAGAGAGCAGGGGGGTGGGAGGAAGGAGAGTATACTATATTCATGTGGACAGGGGCAGTCATGGACTGCTTTAACGTCCTGACATCAGTTTACATCATCTAGATGGGGCGACGGTGGCACAGGAGTTAAGTGCTCGCCCCGTAATCGGAAGGTTGCAGGTTCGAGCCCCGCTCAGTCTGTCGCTGTCGTTGTGTCCTTGGGCAAGACACTTAACCCACCTTGCCTGCTGGTGGTGGTCAGAGGGACTGGTGGCGCCAGTGCTCGGCAGCCTCGCCTCTGTCAGTGCACCCCAGGGCAGCTGTGGCTACATCGTAGCTCATCCCCACCAGTGTGTGAATGTGTGTGTGAATGGGTGAATGACTGATAGTGTTGTAAAGCACCTTGGGGGGTTCCAGGACTCTAGAAGGCGCTATATCAAATACAGGCCAGTTTACATCATCTAGATGAAGATCAGCTCTGGCATTTGAAGAGCAGAAGATGCATGCTCAGTTGTGTGCGTGTGAATAATGGTGCATCTGACCCGAAACCCCTCTGCGGCAGACACTCCAGGATGTCGTAACAGAGGCTGAGCTGGTCGTCTCTCTCGCAGCTGTAGATGCACTCCAACGCCACCTCCATCAGCTGGTCTGGGTCCCTGATGATCTTCTTCTGGCACTGGAGGAAACGACACAAGAGTTGCTGTTTGGATTGCATCATGGGTGTTGTAGCATAACAGTGGCATTAACGATACCAACGTTGGGTTTGGAGTGCTGGAAGATGAGGAGCGGCAGGGTGAGGTCATGCTGGGCCAGGCCCACCAGGTGCAGTGCCAGCAGAGATCTGGCAGCGCCCTCTTGCTCTCTCTCACAGCGGTGCAGGAAGGGAACCATCCACTGGAAGGCATCTTTCACATAGCGCTCAGGGCTGGACTGTTGTCAGAAAGACAAAAAACACAATTCCCTTCTTCAGAGGAGCTGTTGTGTAAAGATCAGCTGCACTCTTCTGTGTGTCGCTGTTTTCTTTTTAACGGCTCGGCCCATAAAAGCTCCTCGATATTGGCATCAAGGCTCTAGGAGAGAATCTGCTGGAGTGCTCTGTTGTCTTTGCGTCACTAAGGATAGCTATCACCTGCAATGGAAAAGAAGGAAGGCAATAATGTTTTTGCCTGTGCTTGAGCAACATATGTGCAGTGGGGTCCCGCAAGACCCACCGCACGTCTTTCAGGAGCAGCTGGTTTAAGGTTGCCTTGGACGTTCACCTAGCTCCTTAAGCCCGGACCAAACTGTGTTTAAAGCTGTCGAACAGGACTGCTCATGTCACACTGTGAGGACCTTAGCCAGGTGGCACGCTGTACGCTCCAAGACTTCAGCGAGCCAAACTGCATGACGTCTTCTTTGGCACACCCCCAAAAAGCTAAGAGCTAACCAAAACCACAACGCTGAAACGAGAGAAAAGTGCTGCCTTTAACACTTTTATTAGCCTCCAAACCCAACTCCAGAAAGGAGCGGTCTGCTTGTTCTTGCGTGTCGCTTCTACTGTTGCTAATGTTGCCGGTTCTACTCTCGTACTGTGTTCCCGTCACTAGCTGTTCGCGTCAGTCCGTGGATACATTTTCATTGGTTGGTTGCAAATGGGAGTTGAAGGTTTTCAAGCAGAACTTGAAGACTGTTGGAGGCCGATTTGGTCTTGAGGGTGCTCAGTAAGCTGTCGCAGAGCCGGTGACATTGAATGGCCACAGACTTGCAAATCACTCTCACCGATTTTTGTCCCAATTCTGTTCACGATGAGGTTTGTTTAGGACGGTCGAAAAATGCAGTGTGGTCCAGGCTTAAAGTCTCTTTCCAGAGTAATTCTCTTATCCAATGGCGCCATCTAGTGGCTGACAAGCATATCACACAAAAAGTCAGTCGCAGTTTTTTTAGATGGCGGCTTCACGTTTCTAGTTTATAAACGTGCTTCTGTAGCGACACACACGTAGTTTTACGAGTATTGTTCTCATGTCATGTTGCGTTTTCATTCATTTATATTTTAAAGACATTCTTGTCCGTGAAAAGTTCATCAACTCTGCATCAGCCGAGGTAGTCCTTACATTTGAAGCATCTAAGCGGTAGTCTAACATGTTGGGGTTGCAGTGGTCTCTGGCGGAATAAATGCCTTGCAAGTCGTGCTCAGGGGGAAAAAGAGCCCAGAAGCGCCTGGATCAACACGGACAGGTCTACCGCAGCAGACAGCAGCATCGGGAGTCTTATTTTCTGATATTCAGGCATCTCACCTCTGACTGGATAACAGCAACACGACACTTTCACTATAACAACAACACAAGCCTGGAGGAGCTTCGGCCGTGTGGCTGAGGTTCCAACGCTAACCAGCCGAGACATGTCTGCTGTTTCCCGACCGCTAAACCAGCAACAGCCTTCCTCGTCGCGAGCCAAGCGACCGCTTGATGTAGAGCAGTCAGGCTTTTCTGATCCTAGCGTTCCACCGTCTATTTTTCATCAGAAGCCAATGCAGGGGATAGGTGTAGGAGACTATTTTCATGTTCAGCCCACATGAAAAACTCAGAGTGACCAATGATAATCAGAAAAAATCATTCAAAAATGTTATTTTAGTATTACACACCTCTAAAGTACTAATGGAGAAGATCTGGGTCAAAACATTAAGTGAGAAAAACAATTTCAAGGCTTTTCAAAATGGTAAAAACATTCTTATCAGCATTAACCAATGGGAGAGAAGAGTGCTCCTTCCACAGTGAATCTGTTATCAGAAGCAACCGGAAACGTCAAGAACACGGCTGCAGTTACAGCAATAAAGGGCAACAACACTCAAAGCAGCACTAAACAATGATGAGACATGTGATTACTTCAGCTGTTGCCCTTTACCGCTTCATTTGTGTCGTCGCGGCTTAAATAAACTGTCAGGTGGTTTGCATTCCCTGAATAGATGCTACTCCTTAGATCCTGCCAAACTTAAACCTGTGTGTGTGTGTGTGTGTGTGTGCACGTGTGTGTCCGATGAGGAAAGTTCTATTAGTTTGATGCATTTATCCGTCTTCTTTACATGGTTTTTAGAACACTGCAGAGCGTTTCAAGCTGCATTTACATGAAATGGAACCATGCAATTAAATGTGAACTTTAACTGTAATTGCTGCGGTATGTGGGCAGCGCCGCTGTCAGCAAAGAGGCACGTCAAGTGCATCCAGGGCTTCGCACCAGCCTTGTGACAGCCCTGACTCACCATGAAGAGATGAGAACGCATTCGGAGGGAAAACAAAAACATTTAAATATGAAAAATACTCCGATGCTGAATGCAAGTCTGCACGCCCACGGGTAATCATTTTCACTTTGCTGCACCGTCTCTGTGAAAAAGACATCAGACGCAACCAGAGAAGGAGGTTTAATCAAGGCGGTTTGGTAAACACACACACACACACACACACACACACACACACACACCAGGCAAGTGCCCAAAGGGAGTTCCAGTCAAACAGCGTGTATTAGTGCAGTCAACAGTATTTGCTGGCCTCCTGCCTGGATGAAGGATCCTACTGCCGGTGGTTCTCACACGCTAAAGCCGACAGTTATTAGCTACAGTTTACAGGGCCGCTCCTATCATGAACTCCAGGTGACCCAAAGCTGTAGCACCTGCAACAGAGCAGCTTCCATGGCTCCTCTGCTGCAGTTGGATCACAAGTTTGTTTCAGTAAATATCAGAAACCTCAGCATATCAAACGATGGAGCCTCGCTTTACTCTCTCCTGCTTATTCAAGTCTGATTACTAGAAAATACGTTTATTTCAAGCAGCAATCAAAGACAATGAAGGCGTGTTTCTGTGAGGCTAAAGACTAAATGGCTCATTTGTTAGCCGGGTGGAGTAGACAATAACACCCCTGCACAGCTGCAGCTATGTAAACAGAGTCCGGTAAACCAATCTCACACCTTCTGAACTGTTATAAATCAGAGATTAGTTATTAGACATTAGATTTAATGCATGAAGGACATAAGTCAACAGCTTTTATCGTTGTTTAAAACATCACTTACATTTTTCATGAGCAGGCCGAGTTTTTCTATGTGACTGAGCTGCCGCAGATCCTTAAGCGTCAGATTCAGGTCACATGATGTCTCGTACACGAGTGTTTCCATGGTGACCAAGTCATCACAGAGCTGCTCAAGGCCTGGGATCTCTCGCTCCTTACCCAGACGCACCAGCGACAAAGCACAGTCCACCTGGCGGACGGAGAGTTAGGGTTAGGTTAGAAGTTATCATCAATCACACAAAGAACGCTCTGAGCTCCAGGTCAGTTGATCAGTTCACTAACTGAGCTAAATATTAGCCAATTACATTTCATTTGTGTTTCTTTTATTTATGTGAAAACTAACTTACACATACCATTACTTATTTGTTTTAGTAGACATGTTGGGTTAGCCCCATTATTCTGTGTAAATTACCACAGAAATATTATTCATATGAACCACTTAGGATTTCTATACTGGAGTCATTTTAATACCAAAGTAATCCACTGTGGTCTTAGCCCTACTCAGACTAGCCTTTAGCTTATCAATCAGGTCATACGCTCATACATCAAGTTTCAGAGATGTCCCGTAATAGTCTTGTGTCACATCAGATTACTAAAACTTTAATGAAACTGTTGATAGTAACAAGCTATCGCTGAAAAAATGAAACCTGAAAGTGATGGTGTGTATTCTTCCTGGTGACAGAGGGCGGTGCATATACGTTCGAGTAAGACCTCAACGGATGGCCATTAGGGTCAAAAATGAGCACAATGTTTGAATGAATACTTTGTCGGATGGTTCAACCTTCTGCTAAATGACGAGCGTGTCAGACTCCCTTTCATCACCGGCAATGAGCGAAGAGGCAAATGTGTACAACAACAACGTTTTATGAATGGTGAAAGTTTTGTAACTGTCTGTTACAAATCAGTAAATGTGTTTTGTCCTCACAGGCTCCCGTAGAAGAAAACATCAAATTTAATATGGTGTCACCCGGAGACTTAGACCCGCTCCCATGTAGGGTTGTCACGGTGTGAAAATTTAACCTCACGGTTATTGTGACCAAAATTACCACGGTCTTCGGTATTATCGCGGTATTTTTTTAAACACGTTACATTATCACACAACTAAATAAACCCTGTATGTCAGGAAATATCGTCCTCAGTTTGTCTCTAAATTTTGCCTAAAATGTGTTATTTTGTAATTATGTTGTTTATTTGTTTACATTTTTCCCTTTAGTCTTTAAAATACCAATATTTGCCCATAACTTCTTATTTTTTGTCTGTTTGATGTCATCGTTTTAAAAATATTAGATCAGATGATACTCAGTACTCAAGTAGCCTTCTAATCAGATACTTTTTTACCCTTACTTGAGTAATAAACCCTATATCAGGAAAATATCGTCCTCGGTTTGTGTCCTTCCAGTGAGCTTTGCAGATGTGGGAAAATGTCATCAGGCAGTAATCATTGTTAAATTCATAATTATTCTCGGAGAGAGACCAACTCTTATCGGCCCCTGGGAGCCCCGTAATGCATAGCGTCATTTCAACATGGCGGTGTCCGCGACACGGTTTATATGCAGGTAGCGGCGCTGCGGCTGCTTTATATAGCGACTCGTTGCATTCTCCCTCAACCCAAATCCTCGGATCACGCATTTTAGCTAAAACGCTACCGTTAGCTTGCCTTGCGTTGACTGTAGAGTTGTGGGTGATGGTCACGCAGATGTGTCATGAGATTTGAAGCGTTGCTGCCTTTCACAGACACTTTTTCTGCACCTGCTTCAAACAGGATAGCCGTCTTCTATCAGCTGTCCCTCGGCATTCTTCACATATCCAAAAGATGCCCGTACTTCCCACTTTGTCTTCTTTGAGGTATAATAAATGTCCTCCTGAGTGCTGCCGTCTCCTCCTTTGGCCATTATTTCAGCTTTAGCTTCAAGAAAGTTTTGTTGTAAACAACAAAGTGCGCATGTGCCGCTGGCAACTTCAGCAGATGATACGGTGGCTGGTAAGGGTCACCGCGCCTACACCGCAGCCACGGTAATCCACCGAGATAATTTAGTTTTTTTTAAAACAAGACGGTTATTATTATTGTCAACTTTTTTACCGGTTTACCGCTACACCGGTTACCGTGACAACCCTACTCCCATGTGTATTAGATCTTGTTTTTATGGTTACGTTACAAAGTCGCTAATATTTCTCAACATCCGGGTATCGTTTAATTCAGTGGCTCCCAACCTGGGGTCCGTGACCCCTCAAGGGGGTCCCCACAATTTTGTCTGTGCTGAGATGAGACTATATTTGTAAATCCCAATACCACACCCAGTAGTATAATTCAAACTTTGTCTATGAGTCAAAACTTTCAACGTATGTGGGTAAGAGTTGGTGTTGGGGGGTCCTCGGCTTGTCTTGGACCCAGGCAAGGGGTCTTAAGGGACAAAAGGTTGGGAACCACAGATTTGATTCTTTTTCCAAAACTTTCAATGGATATTTCCAGAGACTCAAAGTAAAACTACACACTGTCACTTTAAAAGCACCAATACCCCAATCCACACTAAACAATAACCTCATTATTCCTTCCTGAACAGAGAAGATTTGGAGCTTCCTGCTGCTTGAATCGATCCTATTCCATCCAGAAGAGCAACCGATCAATACGTGACCACCTATACACTGGCAGCACGCCCAGTCAATCGATGCTCTCCACCTGTGGATGTTAGCCAATCAATAGCAGATGCCACTGGGCCTCTGGGTGATGATTGCGCCCCCTCCCCCTATTTCTTTTTGCAAACACATATCACAACCTTGTCATCAGCTTCTTATCTCACCACTTTTTCCCCCAAACAAGTAATTACAAGCATTCACGTACTGAAATTTTAAACACACACTCACAAGAAAATCCAAATCACCTTGACTCAGAACGGGAGTGAGAACACACCAAAGATGGAGTAATTAGATCCCAAGAAAGAGAGAGGAAAGAGATTTTCCATCTCACCGCAGACGATTCAGATGTTAAACTCTAACTCTTTAATTACAACCTCCTTCTTCCTGCCGTCCTTATCACTGTCTCTGCACTAACAGCACACTCGACTCCCTCCCCCCTAACTTCCCCAACTCCAGTCTCCTTCGCCTCCCAACCCCCACTCTAGCATGGTCTATTCCTTCAGATATCATTTCACAAAATCACTTCAAATCTGCTGTTTTTAGCACCCCACCTCTTTTCTTCTATCTGCACCTCCTAGCAGAGCTCTTTAAGAGTCACCGTTGGCCTCTATCTGAACTGCCTGCCTGGCTTTTTGCCTTTCCCATAGCTGCTTTTCAAAAGGCACCCGCTTATTTGCTGCCACTTGTTTGTAATATAAGCTTTTTCTGCCTCTTCACCTCCCTATAAGTGCTGGTTTTCTTTCAAACAGTGCTCTTTCCATGAGATTCCCTTGTGGCTGCAACAGGTTGCAGCAAAGTGTGAACGGCATTTATGAAAAGGCTTGTCTTCAAGCATTTGGGATGGTTCTTAGGTCCCTTAGACAAGTCGCAGAGCATCGCTGTCATGTTGCTTGTATGCCATCAATTTGCCGCCATGCTACAGCAATTTGCCGCCATGCTACAGCGATTTGCCGCCATGCTACAGCAATTTGCCGCCATGCTACATCAATTTGCCGCCATGCTACAGCAATTTGCCGCCATGCTACATCAATTTGCCGCCATGCTACAGCAATTTGCCGCCATGCTACATCAATTTGCCGCCATGCTACATCAATTTGCCGCCATGCTACAGCAATTTGCCGCCATGCTACATCGATTTGCCGCCATGATACATCAATTTGCCGCCATGCTACATCAATTTGCCACCATGCTACATCAATTTGCCACCATGCTACAGCGATTTGCCGCCATGCTACAGCGATTTGCCGCCATGCTACAGCGATTTGCCGCCATGCTACATCAATTTGCCGCCATGCTACATCAATTTGCCACCATGCTACAGCGATTTGCCGCCATGCTACAGCGATTTGCCGCCATGCTACAGCGATTTGCCACCATGCTACATCAATTTGCCGCCATGCTACAGCGATTTGCCGCCATGCTACATCAATTTGCCGCCATGCTACATCAATTTGCCACCATGCTACATCAATTTGCCACCATGCTACATCAATTTGCCGCCATGCTACAGCGATTTGCCGCCATGCTACAGCGATTTGCCGCCATGCTACAGCGGCATCAGGGTTAGCCATGTTAGTAGGCAGGGTTGGTACCTCGTTTATAAGTGGTCAGACCGTGGTGGTAATGTTGCGCAATCGTGTCATTTTCATAAAAGATTACACAACGGAGGCACAAATGGGTGGGCTCTGCACTCCCGCGGACGTCCATTTCGCTTGGACATCACTTGATTTTTATGGCGATCGAAGCCGCGCTCATTACGTTTTAACAAGCTGCTCCTAAAGATGTCTGGACTCCACAGTTCCTGTGCCGTCTCTGGTGATCTGAGCTCCAGCTCTAACGGAGAGAAACTCCTGGAGCCCTGCATTGCTCCAGATTATCTTCTCAGCTGATTCAGTTGACAAAAGTGAAAGTTACAGCACCTTTCACTTTCATTTTCAATATGTCTGCCGGAGCTCGGCAGGATCTCCCCACGTGATCGTGACACCACCTTCTGTTGCACTAAGGCGCAGTCGCCGTCTACACAGTAGTTACCACAACGATACTACCAAGCGAGGCGGAACAAGCACGGCTAAATTCATGCATTGCTATGCCGACGTGGAGTGTTTCTAAAACACACCATTGCAGTAATACTACGCTGATTTGGTAAACCGAAAAAAGTTTGCAAGAACAATTTTCTGTCAGTGTGCATCAGGGTCAGGGATGTTTGATATCAGCATTTTTTTTTTACTGATATCCAATATACTGAAAAAGTTATACTTAGAGAGTCGATACGTTAAATATTTTCTATATTGGCCAAAATAAAAGCTGATAAAAATAAATAAATTGAAAGATGCTTTATTAATCCCAGAGTTTCAGTGCACACATTTCAGAGAGCAGACATACGAAGGCATACACATGACAAGAACTGGTGACTGCGGTCATTCGCAACCCTGAGTCGCGCTACCGTACTACAATTAAAAAATTAGGCACCTGTGTGGCCAACTGCCGCCACAACTAGACTGGAGAAGGGCCTGAAGGACCCAACACACCGTTGTTTTAATGTTTTGAGTTTGTTTTGTATTTGAAGTTCAAATATAGTTCAAAGCTCCTAAGATTCAACAAATATTAGGAGCTTTATTGACTTTTGTCATTTATATTGCACACAGTGATTGTTCAGTTGTCTCTCACAGTCAATGTGCTGCTAAAACGTATATATATATATATACATATGGGCCTAATAATCGGCTTTAGATATCGGCCATCAGCAGAAAAAGTCTTTAAAAATCGGCATTGGCCTTTAAGAAAACCATATCATTCAGCCTCTAGTCTAACTCTTAATTTCCATTACAGATATGAGCAGATATGTGGAGTCGCCCGTCAGAAAGACATCACATATCTCCTTTCAGGCATATTTGAACTTTAAACAGTATCAGTGCAAAAATGGCAACTGCTTCAATTTGTGGAAGGCCAGCAGTGCCAGACAAACAGTAAACCACGGATCTGTCACGTTTTAACATTTGGACTGAGAAGTAGCTGAAGAGTTTCATGTGTAATATGTGGATGGTATCTCAAGGTTGTGTCATTAAAAGAGTAAAAATCAAAACCAATCATTTCTGGTATTATATTTTAAGGCCAATATTGGCAAGATAGATAGGCGGATTGGTGCTGTGTCTGAAGTGATGCGGGCGTTGTACCGGCCTGTCCTGGTTAAGAGAGCCTTTCGGCTCAGCTCTCTCTTCACCGGTCCATCTACGTTTCAGCCCTCACCTATGGTCATGTAGTGACCGAAAGAATGAGATCATGGTTAAAAGCAGCTAAAATTTGTTTTCTCCACAGGGCGTATAGCCTCGCCCTTAGAGAAGTTCGGTCATCCAGGAGGGGCTCGGAGTAGATCTGCTGCTCTTCCACATTGAGAGGAGCCAGTTGAGGTGACTCGGGCATCTGATAAGGATGCTTAATGCATCCTAATCATCATGCTTAATGAGGTTTTCAGAGCACGTCCAACCAAGAAGAGACCTAAAGGTAGACCCAGGACACACTGGAAGGACTATGTCTCTCACCTGGCCAGGGAACACCTTGGGATTCTCCCGGAGGAGCTGGCCCAAGTGGCTGGGTAGAGGGAAGTCTGGACCTCTCTGCTTAGGCTACTGCCCCCGCAAGCCGCCCCCGGATGAGTGGAAGAAAATGGATGGATGGATCGATATCGGTCGATAACGATGGTAGGCCGATTATAGAATATATCCCTATCAAGCACCCATGTCAGAACCTTCTCAGTTGTTTCTCAATTTAATTTCTGCGTTTCACTTGGAATCACGTACAATTAGTGACTTAGTGAGTGGTTTTAAAAACGCCTGTGTCACGAGGAGCATGTGACATACTTGCTATAAGAAAACTGCACATTTGCATGATTCTTGTACCATTAGTTTTTCAGCGTAGCAACATGAATGGCCTCATTTGTGACCCAAAGGTCACACTTCCTCAGCTGGGTCAAGCGGTCCTGGCTGTACTTCTATCTACAGATTATCCAACCAGGAGACGCGAAGTCTGCTGTAAACCATCTTTAATCTGACTGCTGTTCCATCCGCAAGACGAAGGACACTTCAAGATTTAAAATAAACTCTTTTCACTGTCTTATTACAAGGTTCATAAATAGCCATCATGGTTCATTATAAATGTATTTAATTACTGAAATGAATTATTATGAATGAATCACAAACTGTCAGAATAAGGTCTCAAACCAAACTCAATTTGGTTGCAAATCTATCCCAAAACTGTCTAAACCCGTATGAGTTTGAGACACGTGACTATTTGGAGTGGAGTTCAAAACTCCAGTGATGAAAGACCATAGACCTGTGGCTCACGTGAGATGATTGAGACCTCCTGTGAATGTTTTGGGACAGATTGGAGACGTCCTAAAGGGAAGGGTGGACAACCGAATGGCAAAGAAAAAGTTGGAGACAAATTGAGACGTGAATAAGTGGCAAAAAAAAAAAAAAGACAAAAGACATTTGCACAAAGATCCAGGAGATTAAAACGGTCTCCAACAAATACTGGCTTCAAATCGTCAGCGTTAGCCTATCCTGGATTACCTGCTGTAACATTTGTAGCGTTGTTAATCTACATCACCAGAATTTAACGCTGTTTGCTATTCAGCTTTGCTAAATTCTGAGAAAGATCAACAAATTAGCATTTGAAGCTTATATCATATATAAATATCCAGGATATTCATACAATCGATGGAAGTTCCTACACCAACGGGCTTGGTCTATATTTAATCCAAAGATTAATATTTAATTTAATTTAATTTAATGGGCTGCATGGTGGTGCAGTGGTTAGCACTGTTGCCTCGCAGCACGAAGGTTGCAGGTTCGAAACTCGGCTGCGGCCTTTATGCGTGGAGTTGCGTGTTCTCCCCATGCATGCGTGGGTTTCCTCCGGGTACTCCGGTTTCCCCCACAGATCCCAACATGCCCTACAGGTTATAGATTGTAAGTCGCTTTGCATAAAAGCATCTGCTAAATAAATAAACATAAAAATAATTTAAGATATTTAAATTAACAGCAAAGTTTATTTATTGAACAGAAGGCTTAATGGAATCTTTGCTTATTTAATAACCAAATATACATCATTCTGTGTTTCATTTCAAAGAAGAGTCAGGTTTAAACAGCTAAGAATTTATTACTAACAATTTAAAAGACAGTTTATAACAGCTTTGATATTAAAACTTGGTATTAAAGCAACCTGTGTCTGGATGGAAACTAACTTGAGATGCGTGGGTTTGGATGCGTGGAGGGATCTCAGGAGGTTCCTATCAGAGAGGAAACGCGTTCTGGGTGAAACAGTTGTTTTGCAGCTGAGTTGTTTCTTAGAAATAACAGCATACGGACGCCATCTGTCGGAATCGTCTGCCTCACCCAGTCAGGAGACCCCCGGTTGGATCCGAGATGTCAGGTGGAGATGACCTCCGAGCACGAGGTGGGTAGAGGAACCTTGGTGCGACCAAATCGGTCCTGAGATGTCTCCGGGTCACAACGACTGATGGAACTGGTTGCGTGTCAAAAAAAAAAATCAATAACTCTGAAGGAGTTTTGTGTCAGCTGGTAGCAGGTGGCGTTTATTCGGAGCGATTCTATCGGCGTGACAGAACAGCTCAGTGAGGCTTCGGGCGGCCGACCCTTATCCTCCGGGACTCTCGAGCCACGGAGAGCTTTTGGTGAGCTCAGAACCGTCAGCCTGAACTGAGGAGTTTGGTTTTAACACAACCTCAGGACACGCCCTCTCAGAGATAGCAAGCTCTGGTTATGGAGCAAAGACGTGTGAGGTGGTTACCTTTAACCTGATTCAGTCCTGCATGGTGTGTATAAGTGCACATGACCTTCTGGTTACTGATCAAACATTACTGATTATCATACATAATCATTATTATTAACCAAAGAATAATAAGTCATTTCAGTAATTAAATACATTTATAATGAACCATGATGGTTATTTATGAACCTTGTAATAAACAGTGAAAAGAGTTTTATTAAAAATGATTATTTTAAATCTTGAAGTGTCCTTCATCTTGTGATGGAACAGCAGACAGATAAAAGATGGTCTACAGCAGACTTTATGTCTCCTGTGATGGATCATCTGTGGACAGCTTGACCCAGCCCCACCTAGCTGGGGAAGTGTGACCTTTGGGTCACACATTCATGTCGCCACACATTTAACAGGTATTGCTTTAACTCTACTGTCTCCACTTCCTTCTACAGGTTGTACGTCCATGTTGAGCCTTCT